TCCACATGGATAGATAGGTAGACCGATCGATAGATAGGTAGATCGCTAGCTAGGTAGGTAGGTAGGTAGGTAGGTAGGTAGGTAGGTAGGTAGCTAGCTAGCTAGCTAGATAGTTAGATAGATAGGAAGATAATTAGATGGTTGCATAACCAAGTAACTAGCTGGACATATAGATGGTTAGATGGCCAGGCACTACCTAGCAAGCTAGTTGGCTGTTTGGCCTGACGTTTTGCCGGGCTAAGTAAACTCTGTTGGTGCGATTTCTGATACCCTGTGCTGCTAACAAAGCAAACAGACAGACAGATAGACAAACAGCCAGAGGGATAGAGAGAGATAGCTAGCTAGACAGCCAGACAGAAACAACCAAATACACAGATAGATGGCGAGATGCATAGTCGGGCTGATGGAGAGATCAAGAGATAGATGGGCAGATCTGCACACGACATTTGTCGACAGATAGATTCATATACAGATATAGATAGCTCTTTAAATTCGCAACCACTTCGGATCCTTCTTTGTACGGGTGCCGCCTTCTGATAGCTCCTAGAAAGAGATCCTAACTTCGAGAGCTATCCATATGTAGAAGACAAAACGACATGGCCATGGCATCGGGGCGCACAGCATATATATATATATATAGGTTTAGGTATGTAGGTTTGTAGGCTTATGTTAGGTATATACGTATACAGGTATAGGTTTTTAGGTATACCGATGATGACATGTGTCTTATGCAGCTGCACAAGTATACTTAGAAATGATACTTGCCGCAATACCCTAAAGTAGTTCCTTGTTGGGGTTCATATTTAGAATCCTACAAGGTAACCCCAAAAAGGAACTACTATGGGGCCTAGGGGGAAATTCGAAAGGACAGCTGCAGCAACACTGCACGAAGCTCAGTTCGACGCCCTCATTCCTTGGAGACTCTGCTCCTGGTCTGCGTGATAATGGCTCTATACCGCAAGGGTTCTAGAGATCTAGAAGGGCCTTCAGGGTCTCTAGGTTTAGGGGTTGAGGTTTTATGGCTCTTGAAAGATCAGCGGACTTGGTCTGTGGGTTTGTGCGCAGGCCATTAGTAGCCTAACTGGGGCCCTCGCACGTATAGCCTCACTCCTGTCATATTTCAAGGAAGTCCTCAAGTAAGGCCCAAGTAAGGATTGCGCATCGGCGTACTGTAGGCCCGATCATCTTCGCAGCTTCGGATGCTCTTATGCGTGCAGGGGCAAACCAGATGTCGAACTTGGGAAATATCCGTGACAAGCAACTAGAAAAAGGGTTGAAGCTGATGTAATAATCCAGGAGAGCTTTTTACGATTAGAAAAAGGCGCTCGGGGACATCATTATAACTTATACACTGAGAGGAAGCCTCGAGAATGACGGTTGTCATTATTTGCGCTTCAACATTGGCTGAACAGTATGTTCCTAAGTCCTGTGAAACACCGAGACCCGCCCTAAAACCCCTGCAGCTGCAACTCAACGACCTGAAGCCGCAAGACTCATTGCCTTAAATACTGAGGGGTTCAGGGTTTAGGGTTAGCTCAAAACTTACAACGATCTCATGCACCACTTATGCACGGCTTGAAGTCGCAGCACTGGGAGACAAGGCCAACAAAAAGAGTCAACAGAAACCAGACGAGACGGTGTATGGTTGTGCTTGCTTTGCTAAGGCTGCAGGGCAGCTGCTCGGAAGGGACACAAGTAGATCACAAAAAGCACATAAAACATCACAGTGCGATTCTCCACGGTTTAAACATATAGGGCCTTGATACTTAATTAGATCAGGCTTTTGGCATTTTGGGGCAGATTGCAAGGGAAATTGTTGCTACTTACTCCGACCCTTAGATGTGGCATTTACGTGTTAGCGTCATCCAGTTCTCAAGCATGGGCCCTAAACCCCAAACCCTGGGAAGCCGGAACGATGCTCTGAGGCCGGCGCAACTCTGACGAACATCTCCGGAGATGCCCCTACCAAGAATTCGTCGTCACCTCCACGGCTTGTTTAGGCCTAAACCCTAAACCCTAAACCCTAAACCCTAAACCCTAAACCCTACCCTAAACCCTAAACCCCTAAACCCCTAATGTAAACTGTTTGTAGGGTTCAGGGATGAAGCTCCAAGGCTGGGAAATAAGCCAACAACACGGAAGGAGTGCCTCCCAAGACCTTTTGAAACCGGACTTGATGACTGCCAGCATTGCCTTAGCTGCCGTTCTGCGTCCGGGGACATAAACTCTAAATGCCTGAGCCATGAAGAACCGACTCTTGTTGGCATATTGTGATTTCCCTCGTAAAAATGGCCTGAACAGCCTAGGATTAAAAGGAACCCAAAGCCTTTATCCCGACACCCAAACCTCTTTGTGAGCCTGCTCGTTGCACGAGCGCCAAACCTGAAGACCCGAACAACAACAAACTCCTGCGCCAAAAAACCCTACAGCCCGTAAACCCTAAACCCTAAAGCCTCTAAACCCTAAACCCTAAAGCCCTAAGCCCTCAACCCTAAAGTCCCTAAGCCCCTAGAGCCCCTAAACTTAAGGTTTAGGGTTCAGGGTTCAGGGTTTAGGGTTTAGGGTTTAGGGTTTAGGGGTTAGGGTTTAAGGGGTTAGGGGTTAAGGG